CTGGAAGGCGTCCTGGCTGTTAAGGAAGGGGAAGAAGGAGGGCTCGCAAATCAGCCCGTGGTCCAGGCACACGTCCGTGCAGGCCCTCCCAGCGGTAGCCAGCCAGGCCCGGAGGGAGTGTGCTGGGGGCCAGGCCCCGGGGGCGAAGCTGGCATTCTGGGCCCACTCCAGGTGGGTGGCATTGGGGGCCAGGACGAAGGGACTCAGTGGGGCCCGGGCCCCTACTGGAGCAGGGCCTGGGGCTGCACAGAAGTCCTGGCAGGAGGAAAGCCAGGTCAGCCGGGAAAGAGGACGCAGATGCCACCGGCTGACACCGGGGGACGCGGCCTCAGGGAAACAGAGGCTCAGAGAGGTCACAGAACCTGCTCAGGGCCTCAAAGCTGGATGGCAGAGGCAGAATTTGAACTCAGGCCAGCCTGAGAGCCACCCGCCCTTCACGGCCTCGCAGCCCGTCACACCTTAGTTAGGCGCAGTTTTTACCCTGAGGCCCAGGGACCCTAGCTGCAGAGCGGCAAGGAGCCGGGGCTGACTGGAGGGGCTCTCCCTGCAGGGATCAGCTCCAGGAACCACCTGTGGGGCCCAGCAAGTGCTTCTGTGAGCTTCATGATGACATCCCTGTGGCTGGCTGGGGGCTGAGATCCCGGGTTCTGGCCCTGACCCCACCCAGCCCTCCCTGCTGGGGGCCTCAGTGTTCCTGTCCGTAAAGCAATGGTCTAGAGCCACTCTCCAGCCCTTAATGTTGCGGAACAAGGTGCAGACACAGGCCACAGGCTATCTGTCTGAATACCAAATAGTTAGAAAGCAACCGACACCTAGTCCTGTGGCCCAGCCGGGCCCTGCCCCTCCCAGCCATCAGCCCTAGAAGCCCCGAGCCTAGAAGAGAGGCTCAGATCCCCTGGCAGGGAGGGGGAGGCGGGTGCCCAGGCCTCCAGCAGCCCCTTCCCCTGGGTTCTCAGCACAGAGTCCTCATCCCCACCCCAGTCTCACCTGCTCATCCCTGGGGGTGGGGTGGGGAGTGGGGGCTTTCCATACCTACCAGTCACTCAACCAGTTAGCAAACTTTTAAGCAACTTCTTTATCAAAATAACAGTCTTTGTGTTTCTGTGTTGTGGTACTGGGCTGGGTTCTAGAGCTGGAGACCCAGAGCCCCCCCCCCCCCCCCGCCAACCCACCCAGTCCTGATCTCTAAGCAGAAGAGCAGGACGGCCCTGCATCTCCATCCCCACACCCGTGCACCTCCAGGGGAATGGAAACAGACAGGTGGAGGAGGAGCAGGAGTTTAATGGGCACAGAGCCCTTGCGGAGAGAGCTTCCTCAGACACTGGAGTTGGCTAGGCCCCCTCCTCTGGTCTGATGGGGTTTCGGGTAGCCCCCCTTCCCCCCGCCTCCCCCCGTCCCTGGAGCAGAGAGCAGAGGGCCCACCTACTTGGTGCTGGATGTAGGCATGGATTCGCTCCAGCATCCCCTCACAGGTGTACTCGTAGGGCAGGTAGGGGTCTACCTGTGGGAGAGATGGGCAGACATATGGGGCAGGAGGCACCCCAGGCCCCCGTAGACCTGGCTGTCGGGGGCCGGCCATGCTCAGCATTGGGGGCGGAAATCTGGTGTGCCCAGGGAGTCCATCAGCCCATCTCCTGGCCCCTCCACTCGGACCCCTGGTACACCCTCCAGTGGCCCTGGGGGTCATCCCACTCCCTCCCGCCCCCTTCCCAGCTGCACTCCCCATCACCTCCTGGGCTACGATGCCTGCTCTTCCCATAGCCAACCAGATGGATTCACCCCGCTTAGGTGACATCTCCTCCAGGAAGCAGTCCCTGAGCCCCAGCCCACCCCTGTTACGGGACCGCTTTCCTTCCTCCAGCACCTGCGTCATCATTTCTGATTTACCCCTCGTGTCTCCCGAGGCGCAGGTCCCTTGAGAACTGGACTATGGCCCGTCTCGTCTACCACCGAGCCCACCGCCTGGCATGGAGCCTGGTATACAGTAGGTGCTCAGGAAATAGCACCTCCAGCTCTGCCTGTATCCTGCTCAGAACGGGGAATGTTCCCAAAAAAGAACACAACGGCATCTCCCTGTCAGATGGAATGAGATGAGTCTGCGAGGCTTCCGGCCCAGGTCAGGCACCTGGGAAGGACCCAAGACACGCGTCCCCGGCGGAGGCCAGACCGTCCGTCTAAGCAGCTAATGGTTACGAGGCAGCCTGCACTGGGTGGCTGGGGGCAGGTGGGTTGAGGAGCTGGGGACTGAGGAGCACGGGGAAGAGGGAGAAGCGTGAAACGGGGTGTCCACCTCCTGTAAGTGGGTACCCCACCACCTCTGCACTCTTCTCACCTGACCAATCTCTCCCCGTTTACCCCATCCAGCACATAGCCACCCCGGAGGAAACCCGTGGCTGGACAGGGACATGGGGATGACCCGTCCCAGACTCAGACTGGGCCTCCGCCCCCCTTCTCCCCCGGGCGTGTGTGTGCACGTGTGTGTGTGGCGTTGTATGTGTGGGGATGGGCACCCGCCTGGCCCAGCCCGATTCCGACTTACGCTCTTTTCCAGCCAGCAGTCCGGGTTGTGTGATCTAACCCTTGTGCCCACATGGGAGTGGCCTCCCGCCCCCTCATGAGAGCTGGGCAGCATCAAAGGCCCCCTCAGGTGTGCCTGGCGGGTCCTGCTTCCTGCAGACCCCACCTCGAAGGGCTGGACGCCCATCCTGGGCCCCCTGCCTAGGGGCATCCCTGACCCTCAGGCTGCTGCTCCCCTTGAAATGGGTTCGGGCCCCCAGAAGTTTCTCGGGACAAGAGCGCACCCGGCTGGCCTTTCCCCAGTTCCCATTGTGAGCGGCCATTCTTAATCCAGGCGCAGTTCTGGATCCCCAGAGAAGCCCAGGTCCTGCACGGGCCACCACCACACAGCCCAGCCACCGGGTGGCCTTCCCAGCCCTGCGCTGTGCGCCTCTGGGTCCTGACCTCGGCCGACAGCCACAGCGGCGCCGGCAACCAGCTGCTGCCCCGCAGGGCCCTGGACACCCCTCGGGTACATGACTTCCAGCCCTGGTTATAGATAACTCCCCAGAGGAGAGAGTTCCCCTCCAAATGTCACTCTGCCTACTCCACGGTCACTCCCCACCGCGCTTTGAAGCCCACGTCGCATGGTAACTCGCATCAGCCAGCCACGTCCCACCTGCCATGAGTCTCCACCCAAGGAGCCAGCCTGCCTGGAAATGACTGTCATTAGGCCTAGTCACAGGTGCGCACAGTAACCAGTCTCAACGGGCCGGCAGGTGCTGGTCCTGCACGGTCATGAGCGTGGGAGGGAGGGGGTGGGCAGGGGCTGGCCTGGCCTCCCTCCCAGCCCCCCGCCACAGAGAGGTGCCAATGGCAAACCCACCCACCCCTGAGTGGGGGGACAGCAGGTCTCTCTCAGCTCCTCCCCGTGCCTCATCTTTCTTCTTCCCTCTCCCCGTGAAAGGCCCCAGGACTTGCAGAACAAGCTGTGTTCTCTGACGGTGGCCCTCAATCAGTTCTCTAAAATAGGATTATGAGAGGGGCGCCTGGGTGGCTCAGTCGTTAAGTGTCTGCCTTGAGCTCAGATCATGATCTCAGGATCCTGGGATCGAGCCCCGCATCGGGCTGCCTGCTCGGCGGGAAGCCCGCTTCTCCCTCTCCCACTCCCCCTGCTTGTGTTCCCTCCCTCGCTGTGTCTCTCTCTGTCCAATAAATAAAATCTTTAAAAAAATAAAATAAAAATTATGAGAGCGGCCCAGGCTGCTTGTTGAAAATGCAGATGCCAAGGCCACACCTGGGCCTTTAGAATCAGAAGATAGGAAGGGGGGTGCCTGGGTGGCTCAGTTGGTTAAACGTCTGCCTTCGGCTCAGGTCATGATCCCAGAGTCCTGGGATCAAGACCCACATCGGACTCCCTGCTCAGGGGGGATTCTGCTTCTCCCTCTGCCCCTCCCCCTCACTCATGCTCGCTCTCTCGCTCTCTCTCTCTCTCAGAAAAAATCTTTAATATCAGAAGACCGGCCCAGGACCCACATTTTAACCACCTCCCAGGTGATTCTTGGTAAAGGGGTGAACTGCCCGGGGGGAGCGGTGGGACCCCTGAAGGGGGTGAAGGCAGCGGGGTGGTCAGGTTTGGGGCCCACCTGGAAGTCTCAGCTTGGCAGACTTGCAAAACTTTGGTTCCTTGACCCTTTTGTTATTGTCATTTTCTAATTAATAAACAAAATTAAACAGATGTGCATGTAAAAAACAAATCAAAAGGAAAACCAATGTAAAGTAAGTTTCCTCCCACCCCAGACATCCAGGCCCATCCCCAGGGCAGCGATTTCTCACGTGTCCGACCAGAAAGAGCTCACGAATGCATGGGCGCGCTCATTTGCAGGCCCCTTGGCAGCCCCGTTGTGTTCTGCGGCTGGAACGTGCTCCCCACAGGACCGGGTATCTTGCTCCTTTAGCTCAGCAACAGATCTGGCTAAGATCTACTGGGCCAGACGTGAGCCCTCGGGGTGGGCAAAAGCCTTGCTGGTCTCCCTTCCACCCGCTGTCCTTGTCCCCTGGGACAGAAGCCTCGGAGGCTTGCTCTTCAAGGGGAGGGGAGAAGGAGCAGGGGGAGGATGTGGGGTGGGGGTCCCCTCCAGGGTAGCCATCTGCCTTGCTGGGGGGCCTTCCAATGCAGCGTCCCCCTGGGATGTAGAGCGCTGTGCCACCACTTGGGGCTGGGGTTGGTCAGTTGTCGGCAGCGGCTTCTTTCTTCTGTACCGAGGCCACCTGGAGAGCCCCTCACCCGAGGACTGTCTTGCTCAGCCCAGCGAGGGTCCCCAGTTGCAGCCCTCAGTCAGCGATGGACGGAGCTGGGGATAAACACCCTGGGTTTACTTGATTCTCAGGGAGGACAATCTGGGGTGTGACCTACCCCATCAGTCAGAGGTCCCCGCCAGCACTGAACGCCAGGTGCCGCCGGCCAGGGTGACCTACTCCAGAACACAGCGTCTCACTTTGTCACTCCAGGACCCTCCTTCCTCAGATCTCGTCCCAAATAGCTTGTGCCTTGGGGTGACCCTCTGGAGGAAGCCACTCTAAGATAGCCTGTGACCTGGAGGAACTCACAGTAGAGATTTCCTCAAGCTGATGCTTAAGGAGTGGAGGGCGCCCCCCACCACTCAGGGAGGGTTCAGGGGCTCAGCCACTCTGCAGGTCAACCTGGCCACATCCACGTCCGTCACAACTAAAGATGGGTGGAGGCTTTGCCACACAATGTTCTTCTGGGCACTTCACTAGACAAACACTCACCCCCAGACAGAAGGACGGAAGGCCGAGGATGTGGTCAGTGGAGGAAGGGAGGAGAGGTAAGTAGGGATTTTCTGGGGGCATCTGCAGGGGCGGGGGCCAAGGCTGGGGGTCCCGAGTGGGAGTGAGTGATAGTGAACGCAGGGGGGTATTAAAAAAAATGCCAGACTGCCTCAGGGTCAGGACAATCAGGCCAGGGCTCTGGGCTCAAAGCTAAGCCGGTAAGTGCCCCTGTGTCTATCCCTGCTTGTCTCTGCCCTTGAGCCTGGCAGTGCCCCCAGCTCCCCTGGGGCAGCAGACACGCTGGCCAGCTGTGGCCTCCCGGGGCGTGGCTCTCCCTCGCAGAAGGAGCCTATCACGTCACTCACTTGCGGTGGCCCTGCCGAGACCAAGGCTCTCCAGGTCTGCCCCAGACCCCGACATTCACCCTGAGCGGTACATACTCCACCCCCCTCCCCCCCGGGAGGACACACTCCGTGAACATGGGGTTGGGCAAGGAAGGGGACACCCGCAGGGCTGGTTATCTTTGTTCAGCCTCATGTCCAAGCTACAGCAAGAGGCGGGTCCAGAGGGAACATGGCGAGCAGAGTGCCATTTGCATGGTCTGACCCCTTACCAAAATGAAGGAACCAGAAGAGCTCGGGGGGCCATCAGAAGCCACAAAGGGGCCTGCCGAGGAGATAAGTTGCACAAGCCCCTCCTCCCCCTCTCCCCACTTGCACATGTGCACCTGCATACGCCCACACTCACATACCTGCTGAAGGAAACCCGGAAAGTTCTTTCCCTTGCTACTCAGAGGGTGGCCCTAGGCCTGGCACCACCCCAGACCTGCTGAACCCAAACCTGCATTTTCTTTCTTTTTTTTTTTTTTATTCTTATGTTAATCCCCATACATTACATCATTAGTTCTAGATGAAGTGTTCCATGTTTCATTGTTCGTGCACAACACCCA